GGGAGCAGTGTCACCTGCAGGAACAGAGAAGCTTTCATTCCTTTCAGCTTCAGTCACAGTGCCTCATTGCTGCAGTCCAGCCGGACTTCAGGTCCGTGAACGTGTGTGTGAGAGAGAGTGTGTGCGTGTGTGTGTGTGTGTGAAGGTAATTTATCCTGCGTGGCAGTCTCAGCTGATTTGTGGCCTTTAAAAAAATGAATTCAAACGTCTCTTCATTTCATTAAAAGCTAAATCAGAGTGCGCTCAGATCGATGCCGAGCGGTTTGTTTATTTATTTATTTTGTACCCACTCAGAGCCCGTCCGGCCACGTCTTCGTTTTCGTATCCTTCCGGTAAAGATCCTCCAACTGTCGTCCTCGGGCTGAACATTGGAGGTGTGCGGCGTTCTGCTCTCCCCTCTCTCTCTCTGTAGTGTCGGCATGTCTCTTGCCCACGTCACTGAGCAGCCAAACACGGAGAGAAACAGATTTTGGCAGCAGAGCGCTTCGCTGTTTCTGTTTGTGTTGCCTCCTGTCGCTCTGCCAGGAGACGACAGCACGATCCCAGCGTGGCTCGGTCATGGGGGGGCGGAGTCTGTGTGCACTAAAAACAAACCCGGAGGAAGTGTGACCTCTTTAAACGCGAGCTTTTTTGTGTCCTAACCGGTGTGACAGAACTTCACACCAGTGAGAAACGGCGTCTGTGTCAGCTGACAGCACCTCTGAACTGACGTTTCATTTTTATTTTGCTCTGCAGTAAAACTGGTGATGATGTCATTATCATTAGATTTACAACAGATTTACGGCGTCACGCTGAGATCAGCGACGCACACGAGAAAGGCTTTGCTTAAATTGCCCATCATCCTCTCTGCCGTGAGAGACGCCATCCAGCTGCGCGTTCCTCTCTCACACAGGTCGTTCTCGTCCAGGGCCTTCGACGTGTCACACTGTAATAATTCCCCCATCCTGTAGTTGCAGACAGACCTGGTTCCTTTTGACAGAAGCTTTTGCGTTTTTGGAAATAATCTCCGGAAATTTTAAACTGATTTATTTGGCACTTGTATAAAACTGCCATAACGTATGATTGCTCTAAATGAGCACGTCTTTTCTCATGAGGTAAGTCATCCACTCCCATCACAGGAAGCAAAACCCGTTCTGTGGAAACCAGTGGAGCTCTACTGGAGGTGGACTGGTTGGACTGCTGGTTCTTGGGTTTAATCAATAACCTTGCAGCAGAGTCCTGGGAAAGGGGAACGTGGGGGTGAGGCTGAGCAGGTGGGGTGCAGGTGGGGTGCAGGTGGTGACGGTGCACTGTGTTCTTGGCAGTGATGATATCTGGTTGGCACCATTAATGTGAATCCCGGGAACGTTACCTGTTGACCTTTATTCCCGGGAGTTAACAAGACGACTTCAGAAGTTTTTTTCAGAAAAATTCAGAGGTAACCCCCCACGCCAACCCGTCCCCCACCGCCTCTGACTCTCTGCTGCCTTTCTGGAAAGCATCCAGTAGCCCCCCTCCCTTGTTCCTAGAAAAGCACCAGTTCATGTCAGAGAGAGAGAGCAGGGCGAGCGAGAGGGAGCGACCTCTGGGGCGATCAAGTTTGACTTTCCACGAGAGAGCTAGAAAAGCTTCTGGTCCATTGTATCCGTTTGTTAGTGTAATTGTGTGTGTGTGTGTGTGATGTGTGTGTGTGTGTGTGTGTGTGTGTGTGTGTGTCGTGTGTGTGTGTGTGTGAGGGTCATGAGTCTGCCGGCATCTTTCCATGGTGGTCAGGTGTCCGAGGCTCCACTAGCGTTCAAGTGGGTCTCCTAACCCAGGATACGCGTTACTTGAGAAGCTTTTCAGAGTAAAAGCATAGGTATTTTCTGATTCTTCTGATTTCATTTGATTTAATATTTAAAGTCTTTGATGGTGACAGATGGAAAAAAGTTTTCAGAGGTGAGTGTGTGTTTCAGGATTTCTTTCTAAAGAAACAAAAAGGACTGTAAACAGGAAAATAAGAAGGATCAGGAAGTTCATTAAACTTCCTGATCCTTCTTTATTTAAGGAAAAAGCTTTTTAAATTCAAAGTATAGATGGAAACATTTTTTCTTTTATAATATATGACTTAATTACAAGTCTGTGATGATGGGGAGTTAGATGATCCACGCCCCTCAGTGGGGGGGTGGATGCAGACAGTCCGGTCTGCTCCCACGCCTCATTAGCATATTTAATTAACCTGCTGACGGCTGAATGAGGGGAGCGGGGGACGATGGGGTAGGGGGGCAGTGTGTGAAAGTGCCCTCCAACACACACCCATCAGCAGCACCCCTAACCCCCCACCCCATAGTTGCCGTGGTTTCCGCCTGATGCTCTTTGTCTTAAGCTGCTGAAGCAAACAGACGCGGTGAACAGCATGCAAAACAAGCCTACGTAGCAATGTGCCCTGTGTGTGTGTGTGTGTGTGTGTGTGTGTGTGTGTGTGTGTGTGTGTGTGTGTGTGTGGTGCTTTGACAGAGGAGGAGGGGGCCGGGGGGGGGTCCTCTCAATGCAAAAAGTTCATGTCTCTTAAATGTAACTGAACTGCACAACCTCGCGGCGAAAATGTGCAGGCGCAGCGTCCATAACGTGTGGTCTGCAATAAGAACTCCACAGAAAGAACTCCACAGAAGGATTCAAACCTGGACCAAAGTGATTTACACTAACGAGAAGCCCTTCAATCCACGCAGGACGACCCGACACACTCAGCGAACCATCACTTCAGAGGCAACCTGCTTTCCTTCACTCAAAAAGTGCTCCTGTCACCTCCTCTCACATTAAAGAAAACATATTCACGCCTCAGAACCAGCAGGAGATAATCACTTGACTATCTCTCCACACCGTTCAGCTAGCGTGTGAGTCGTTAAAGCGAAGCCCGCTCTTCCTCTCGATCCTGATTTTCCTCTTGGATCACACATCTGGGCCCGCGTGGCAGCGGCTTCAGCCGGGCCTCCGTCACGTTCGCCGTGCGTCACTTTCCTTCATGTTTGCCTTAATTAAAAGTTTTGCTTTCCTGGACGTTCCAACTTCTCTCCGTCTGCTCCTGAGTCATGGCCCCGCCAGCAGGCTCGGGGGGATGATGGGTAATATTTCTTCCACTCCCTGCCTACTTTATCTGCAGCGTGGCCGATCGATGCCCCCGAAGCCGCTAAATCATTTGAAAGAGCGGAGCTGCATCGGAGCAGAGAGCATGCTGGAAGAGGAGGCAGACGCAGAGAGGCCGGTCGCACGAGCTGCACACAGGAAGAACGTTTGCCATGATACTCGGAGCTGACCTACTGCTGCTCACACGTCCACAACAAAAAATGTCAGATCTCACATAGAAGAGAGAAAACTCTAAAAACACAGATGACCAGTTTCGTTTAATAAAACAAAGAAATGTGTAAATAAGTTACAGACGCCTGCAGCTCAGTTTGATCTGATGCAGTTTTAATGAAGCATTTTTAAGAATGTGAAGCAACAGCTGATAACACATTAACGCTCAAACCATCCGTGTTGTGTTGAAGAGATATTCTCAGGTCAAAATAGGACTGGGCTGTACTGCCATGTAATACCGCTACGTGCCACAAGGAGGTTCAGTGAGTCGGTGTAGCCTTTATTTAAGCGATTAATAAAACGATCGGGGAAAAAAGACAAAAAGTTTGAAGAGCAAAGCATTTTAGCACACCTGCTGGTTAAACACTGCCCCCTGTTGGTGAAGGTTTGAGTTCATATTTGCAGTGGGTAATTATTCATTCATTCATTCATTCATTTATTTGTTTATTTTCAGGCACAACAAATACCTATATTGAACATAAAAGGCACAAAACAAAAAACAAAAATTGCCTGAAAAAGGAGTGGGACGAAGAAAACTTATTAAATCCCACCCCTATACTCACTCATCAACAAAAAAAACAATAACATTATAAAAGTACCTTTATTATTATTATTATTATTATTATTATTATTATTATTGTTGTTGTTGTTGTTGTTGTTGTGAGATGTAAGACATTCCTGACTTCTTGAGACCTGAAAACTGGCAAAACCTCTGCTTTCACAGAGGCACTCACACTGCTGATGATCGGTTAAGCACGTGACTGATGAGCAGCACCTGGCTGCTGCTGATCCCGCTGTTCCTGTGGAAGCAGTGAGGCTGGATGTTGTTTTTCAGAGCACTGCAGAGAATCCTTTGACATAAGAAAATGACCCGTTTCCTCTTTTTTAACCACCTTGCTGTAGTAGTTCCAAGAATTCCCACCTTCCAGCAGCTGCCTGGATTGGGACTGAGCGGGACTCTATTAGGTACAGATGCCTTCAGCTGATGGCGGGATAATCGATGACTTTTTATGTAGTTGTACATTGTAATCGTGTAAACATGCGGTTGTTGAAAACGCTCGGGGTGCACCATGTGAGATTCTGTCACGCACCGGGTATTTCTGCCGTTTTAACTTCAGGTTTAGCTATCAAACATTATTCAAAATGCTTTTTAAAGACTAAGTATGAAGAGGATTTATC